TGAGTGTTTCACTTTGTAGCTTTGGTCTAGCAGGCTGTGCCCATTGTCTGGACATTGTGGTCTGGGGTCTGCACATATTGTTGGGAGTTGTATTACATGGACATGGCACCTGGACTCTCTACTCTTCTCCGTGTGAAGCTCCAGCCTCTTAGACCAGTGGTCGGCAAACTCATTAGTCAACAGAGCCAAATATCAAAAGTACAATGATTGAAATTTCTTTTGAAAGCCAAATTTTTTATTTTTATTTTTTAAAATATATTTTATTGATTTTTTACAAAGAGGAAGAGAGCGTCTAAAGGAAGGGAGAGGGATAGAGAGTTAGAAACATCAATGAGAGAGAAACATAGATCAACTGCTTCCTGCACACCCCCTAATGGGGATGTGCCCGCAACCAAGGTACATGCCCTTGACCGGAATCAAACCTGGGACCCTTCAGTCCACAGGCCGACACTCTATCCACTGAGCCAAACCGGTTAGGGCCAGAGCCAAATTTTTTAAACTTAAACTATATAGGTAGGTACATTGTTATTAACTTAATTAGGGTACTCCTAAGCTGGCCTTTGCTAAAAACGTCCTCAATCTGATAGAGGTACGTTTGCTGAGGTCAATCCCTTCCAACTCTCCCATCCATACTCGTCTTGTATACTTGTTTCAGATAGACAAGTGTGGATGGGAGAGTTGGAAGGGGTCAACCTCAGCAAACGTACCTCAAAACAATGTACCTTCCCCGCGCTGCGTCTCCTGTCGCCGGACCGACCAACACCCCCCACTTCTTCTAAGGCCACTTCTTCAAAATAGACTCGCCCAGGCCAAAAACCGAAACCCCACTTCTGCTCATGGGCCACGAAGTTTCAATCACACTGTACGTACATGGTATTTTGTGGAAGAGCCACACTCAAGGGGCCAAAGAGCCGCATGTGGCTTGCGAGCCATGGTTTGCTGACCACTGTCTTAGACCAAGTCCCACCCAAGATGGATGTTCGATAAAGGAAGGCTAGAAAACCAGAGGACCTCTGCCTTAGTGAGGCTAGGATCTGAGCATGAAAGCAGAGGTCACCTGGGGAAGCTCAGGAAAGGCTGGGAGTCATAGCAGGGACTTCTGAATCCTAGGGCTTCCTCCCAGTCTGGGCTGGCTTCCTGGGGAGGACAGCACACTCGAGGTGGATGGTGGTGGGGGAAGGCTGCCTGTGGCCTGTTATAGTGAACAGAAAGGGTGCCAAGATGGCATGATGAATAAGGAAGTGGCACTGATCTCACCCAATAGATGCTGGAGGGATATTAATGGAGGGGCACACCTGTCATTGTCCAGTTGCCATTTCCATGTCTTGTCCCGATAATCTTTCCATAACACTGCGCAGTAGCAGCACATTCTACTTGCTGTATTCTATCCCCAACACTCACATATTCATGCCACGTCTCTCTCCCAGAGACAGAAACCTGATCTTGATCTCCCTGTGCATTTCTGGTTCGTATTGTGCTCTTTCCCCCAACCCAGATGTTTCCACATAGAGGAGAATGTCCCCACGCAAGTCTTCCTCTAAGATCAGACCTGGCACCTTTCCTGAGAACCTTGCCCTACTGGCTTCTCAGGTACTGAGAGCACTTTGTCCTTTTTATCATATCTCTGGTTCTTGGGCAAACACCATTTCTTAACTAAGCTTCTTGGCTGCTCCTATTCTTCTCCAGCCTCAGGCCAGTCTGCTCCCCCCACCATGATTTCATTGGTCTCAGATTTCAGACAGGAGAATGAACTCCCCTCTTCCCTGCCCCAAACCCACACAAAGGTCCCATTCCTCACCTACCACCCAGCCCAAGCCCACCACTCTAGAAAGAGACACTCACTGCTCACATTGAAAGCAGAAGAACAGAGGTCTTCTTGGTGGAGCCCCACAGTGATCTAATCCTCACACCTCCAGCTCTTGGTGGCCAGGTGGTGCTTTTGCCCCTCAGGGGAAGCACCCAGAGAAAAGCACACATGATGCTAACACTGAAGTCTGGGCTGAGGCACGAAGATATGATAAATTGGTCCTCCATTCCAAAAGGGTCAGATCAGACTACATGCCACATTTTTTCAAGCAAATGGTTGAGAAGTAACTCTTGAGCCCCTTACCTGGGACAAAAATCAGTTTAGAGATGGAGAGAGGGGTTGGGGAGGACTTTTATTTTATTTTTTTTTAATCTTTATGATATTTTTCTTTTTTAAAAAATATATTTTATTGATTTTTTACAGAGAGGAAGGTAGAGGGATAGAGAGTTAGAAACATCGATGAGAGAGAAACATCGATCAGCTGCCTCCTGCACACCTCCTACTGGGGATGTGCCCATAACCAAGTTATGTGCCCTTGACTGGAATCAACCCTGGGACCTTTCAGTCCACAGGTTGATGCTCTATCCACTGAGCCAAATCAGTCAGGGCATGATATTTTTCTTTATTTATTTTGATTGTTGATGCTATTACAGATGTTCCCACTTTCTCACCTTTATCCCCCCTCCACCCAGCCCACCTTCCCTCTGGCCATCAACACACTGTTGTCTATATCTATGGGTTATGTATATATGTTCTTTGGCTAATCCCTTCACCTACTTTCATCCAGTCTACCCCCCTCCCTCCACTCTGGGGGAAAACTTTTATTATTTATTTATTTATTTATAAAATTCTCACTCCTTTTTTGTTGTCACTCCTCACCTGAGGATATTTTTTTCATTGATTTTTTAGAGAGAGAGGGAGGGAAGGAGTGGGGAGAAAGAGAGAGAGAGAGAGAGAGAGAGAGAGAGAGAGAGAGAGAGAGATGAGAGAGACACATTAATTAGTTGCCTCCCACACAAACCTGCATTGAGGCTGGGGATCAAATCCACAACCCAGGTATGTGCCCTTGACTGGGAATTGAACACAAGACCCTTCAGTGCTCAGACTGACATTCTAACCACTGAGCAACATCGGCCAGGGCTGGGGGAGGACTTTTAGATGGCTGCAAGCCCTGCCCCTAGAGAGCAAGACTCGCTTCAACAAGAGCAGTGACAAAAGGCTTCAAGACACAAAGAGCTTGGTAAGTCCCAGCATTTGGGGGATGTACCCACTGGAGAAATCCAGTGGCCAGACTGTGGCTGACAGGACCTTCCATCCAGGACAGAAAGAAGAACAAGTGGCTGCACTGAGACCAACCTGCACTCCGAGGGGATAGGAGCCACGGAGGCTGAAGGCTAAAGCAGGTTTATTCCAGCCCTCTCCCCCACCCCCAGACTAGAAGAGTGAAGGAACTCCTACAGAGAAAACTATGTCGAGTGCATGGGCAGAAAACCATGGACAGATGATAAGGTAGAGAAAGTACAGAAGCTGCCAGAGGGGCCTTAAAGGGAAAACTGAAGAATCCATGAAAGTACCCAGAAGGGAAAGATTTTGAGGTTCTGGAGGCCCAGAGAATATATAACAGAGCAATCAACAATTTTGGGGCCCCCTTTCCCTTCTGCCCCACACTTCAACCCCAGGAAGATCAATAACAGCAGCTAGGAAGGGAGGGGGAAGAAAGAGGTATACCCCATCCCTTTCTACTCAACCTTCCCCAACTGCTACTTCTGGACAAGCAGTCAGCCCACTTGCAACCAGGCCTTGTTGGAGTGGGGAAAATTCCTACCCCTAAATCAGCGGTTCTCAACCTTCCTAACGCCGCCACCTTTTAATACAGTTCCTCATGTTGTGGTGACCCCCAACCATAACATTATTTTCCTTGCTACTTCATAACTGTAATTTTTCTACTGTTATGAATCGTAATGTAAATATCTGATATGCAGGATGTATTTTCATTGTTCGCAACCCACAGATTGAGAACTGCTGCAAATGAAGATCCAAGTGTTGATTATGAACTAAACATTTCTATGTACTAACTTAAAGTGAATGTAGAACTTCTCACCTGAGAATGACCCAGTTAAGTCATGGTACTGCCCAGATTTTCATTCAGGGACAAGAGAAAATTCTTCCATTGAATAAATTTTATAGGAAAGTGGGAGACAAATACAGTTGCATTCCAATTACTAGTACATTCCAACAAGTTATTCTTGTTTAAATCCCGGTTACAGACACAAAGCCAGTCAACAAATAGGACTGACAAAAGTCAGACCCCATGAGGACCCTTAGGCTGTTTAACCTTATCCTCTCATTTGACTCATACCATGACTATAATGACAATGATGATTATAGCCAATTCTCATTGGCTTATGTGTTGCCTATCTCTGTTCTAAGCCCCTAAATCTTGATTCTTTAATCTTCACAATAATCTTATGCTTATTAAGCAAATGAGTAAATGGTGACCTAATGCTGGGCTAGCAGTAGGGCTTAATAATGGTAAAACAAATCCTTGCTTCATCTGATCTCCCAGCCCCAAGGAAACTTTAAGGATGAGGAAGAAGTACAGAGAAGCAAGCTATGTACTTAAGTGCCTTTCTACTACTCGCATCATTCCACTCTTTATACTGTCAGGTACCCTTGACCAAGCTCAGCTTTTACTCATAGTATTCCACTATCCACACTATCTTCTCCACTCACCGAAATCCTGCTTACCCTTCAAAGCCTAACCCTCCTGCAGCCACCCTCCCAAACTCAGTCCAAATATCCCACAGCTCTTAGCTAAGCAGATGCCTTAAGTTACAGAGGGAGAAGGGACCCAGAAAAGGGAAGAGACTTATGCAAAGTCATGCAACAGAATTAATTTTCACTGGAAGGAGAATTTAGAGTCCTGATGCCCAATCTAAGGCAGCAACTCTAGCACATTAGAATGGGGGCTGATTATGCCTGGGCATGCTAACTCCCAGAGCGAGAGCATCAGCTCTGCAGGCATCCGATTCTACAAAGTAGTGATGGAAGACCACTAGCTTTTGTTTTTTTAATTTTATTTATTTTTTAAAATGTTTTTATTGATTTTGGAGAGGAAGGGAGAGGGATAGAAACATCAAAGATGAAAGAGAATCATTGATCAGCTGCCTCCTACTCGCCTGCAACCGGGGCATGTGCCCTGACCAGCAATCGAACTGTGACCTCCTGGTTCATATAGGTCGACCACTGAGCACACCAGCTGGGTGAGAACTAGCTTTTATTGGAGGACTAGACCCAGCAGTAGGTGGTGGTGGTGGTGGTGAGGTGGGGGGTTTCAGTGCACTGGGATTAGGAGCTCAGGAGCTGGGGGGCAGGGCAAGGCCAGGGCTATGTGATGGTGAGGTGAGTAGAAGCAGGGACACCACAGCTTTCTTTGTGCTCCTCAAACAGTTGCTCCAGAGCCTTCATGTAGAGCGTGTGGTAGTGGTCAACTTCCTCGTCAGTGGGGTTGAGGCTCTGGGGCACTGGGATGGGGCGGCCCACTGCAGGGAGAGGGGAGACAGATGAGGTGAGAAGTGCCCACACAGCTGATGGCAGCTTTCTTCCCTGGAGATGAGGACTCACCCACAGTAGTGATGGGCACAGGGAAAGGCAGCAGGCCCCAGGAGTTGGCTGAGAAGAGACTGCGGCCCCAGAAGATGCAAGGAGCAAAGCCCAGGTACTTCTTGATGATGGACTGGCACAGATACTGCCAAGAGTCTGTGGCAAAAACTTTAAGTCTGAAGACATCATTCTCCCCAAAGGAGTACACAGGTACCAAGGAGGCCCTGGGAAAGAAGGGCAATAGAGAAGAAGGGTGGTTGGGCCAGCAGCTCTTGGAGTACCCCAAGGATGGGAGCCCCAGGGAACAGCATAACCTCTTAATTCCACTTCCCAAGCCCTTTAAAGCAAATGACAATGGCTACTATGAAAAATCTGGAAAAAGGGACTCACATTTCCTGAGAAAAGATTGTGTACTGAACCTTCATGTATACATTTCCTCATCTAGTCTTTACAACCAAACCATTGCAAGGTAGGTATTAACTCTTTCACAGGTAAAGACACATGCCTCCGGTCTTGCCTTTGAGATAGTATCAGAGGTTTTGTGCCCTGCTGTTGGTACTATGTCCCTGGCTCTCTTGGAGTGGGAGGAAGCTTGCAAAGTGGACATAGTGCTTGGCACAGAGTAAACACTCAAGCACTGACATGAGCACCTTTCGGGTATAGGGCTCAGTGTGGATGCAGAACAATCTATAGGGTCCCGGGTGTGTAGGGATGGAGAGCGTGCACCCAAAGGTGCGCTGTGAAGTTCTCACCATTAAAAGCAGCCTTGGACTGGTCACCCGCACCCCTCTCACCCATGCCTCAGCGCCAGGCGTACAAAGCCTTTGCGATTCTGGAGAACAACGTGATGCACCCCTGGGAGTGCATACATGGATTCTTGGGCACCCCCAACCAGGATGACCACGGCCTGCCCACGCCGGGGCTGTGACAGAATAAAGTCCAGGCTCTGGCGGCTCACAGAACATGCTCCTGCAGGCAGGCATGAGAAAGTGGGAGCAGTCACCACACCCTCCTTGGCTCCCCAGCCCCTCAGCCTACCCATTCCTCCCAACTCCCCTACCCACCATGCCCGTGTCACTGTGCCCTATAGTGTCTGTCCCAGCGAGGACACCATAGGACACTTGCTCCAAAGCTATTCACTGATGCCCACTGTGACCCTGGCCAGTGTTCAGACCAGGTCTTTGAGCTAGGTGGGTGGAGGTCACCCCGGCCGGAGAGCACCTCCTCCCACTCACATGGAGGCTCACCAGTGGCCATGAGGTAGTCTCGATAGATTGGAATGTGGAAGAGTCCGTCCAGCCCAACTAGTGAGGCCCGAAGCCCAGGGAACTTCTGGGAGAAGCCAGTGCTCTCGGTTGAGAAATTGCAGGCGGTTCCGATGCACATGATCCCATGTGGATGAGAGCCAAACACATAGTTCTGGTCAGGGGGCAGCTCTACTGTTTTCACCAGCTTTGGGGTGTTGGGCAGGATGAGGGGAAGAAGACATAGAAGTCAGGACACCAGGTAAAAAGTGTTGCCCCCCCCCCCAACTGATTTCAGAGATCAAGGATGGGGTTACGGGCACAGAGGGGCTACTCTTGAACATCACTCCACCCCCTGCCCCATTGCCTTAGCTTAGGCAGCTGGGGCTCAGGCTTCTGCACTATTAGGGGTGAATAGGTGGGGGAGGCAGGGGAGAGGAAGGAGGCAGAGAGTCTTTCTGGAGGGTAACCAGTCACCTTGATGGGATAATAATCCCTTAGGTGTTTCCAAATGGTCCAGTTCCTTATCCACTTAGACCGCCTTCCACCTTAGGGTAGAGAGATATGCGTGGAGGAAGCCCAGCTGCCCTCTCCCAACACATGGCCCCCTTCCAGTACTCACCTTGGTTGGGTGTGTTCCAGTCTAGGACGAGCCATGCCAAGTAGAGAACAGAGAATGACCAGAGGGACGTGAAGAGGAGGGAGAAGACAAGAAGGAATGAAGAAAGGCCTGTGTAAAAGATGAGAAACTAAAAATGAATTAGCCTTTGAAACTCAGTCATGTCATCCAGCTGTCCCTCTCCTCCACCCCCAGGGATCATACCCTTCCGCTCTCTCCCAGCCCCACATTGGCCCTCTCCCTGTCTTTTTGCTCTTGGGCACCCAGATTAGTGGCGCTCCAGCTTTTCTCCCCCAGTCCCTTCTCCCGCTGCGGACCCCGGCACCCATGCCTCTTCCACTTCTCTCACCCATGAAAAGGAAAGTGAGCACGAATTGGTAGGCACCCACTACGTCCAGACACTGCTTCTTCAGGGTCTTCATGGTGCAGGAGAGGGCGGCAGGAAGGTGGAGACTCCTATCCCAGGAGCAGCCCTGGGCCAGCAGTGCTCCAGGACCCCAAGAGAAAAAGTACCTGGGAAGGCTTTCTGGTCCGAGGGGCTGAGCCTTTTGGACCTCCGGGATTGCGTGTGTGGTGGGGCGGTGTGAGTGTGTATGGGTGTGAGTGTGGGGGGGGGG